TTGATCGCTTCAGGCACCAGGCCCCACAATTGTTTTGGTTCGTGACTGCATGCGTGCATGCATCGAACAGCAGCGCATCAGCCGCTGCGTGCATCAGCTCTCGCATCCCCCCCCCACAGATCCTTATACTCCGTCGGAGGAGCTTGACTCACGACTGATGTGAGCGAGAGATCTTAGATGTACATACCGGTTCAGGTGGGCGCCGTGACCAAGCAACGTCTTAAAGTTGACACGTCTCGAACATTCACCATTGTTAGCTATCCGGCGCGCCCTCAAATTAATAAAATCGTACCAGCGTTACTTGCACAAAGGGCTCGCATAGTGTCCGTCCAGTTCTGTGCTTGTACTCACTCTGACTGACTTGACCCCATGCGGGTCTGCTGGTCGCGGGCATGACGAGCCAGGCCAGCTCGCGAGTGTCCATTGCGGAAACTAAGACCATTCGGCAGTCGGCTACAATTAGGCGCCGAGTCCCGAGCTGAAAGCACATCACCAGAAGAAGTAATCATATCGGAACAGAGTATTGACGAACGAATCACAACCAAATCTCGATTCAAGGTTCACGAGTGGCTTTTGCTTCACACTACTACTACTGAGCCAGACTGATCGCAAGCACGTGTGCGAGTTGTGTGTGGAGCACTGGTCAGACCAAGTCTCGCGGCAGCTCTTCTCACTGCAGCTGCCGGTGCCCACCTCGTGAGCGTCGATGCATGGTCAAATCGAGGAGACAGGGGCGCGACTTCAACTTGACTCGATTGGACATTAGCATCACAAAGTCTTTCCCTTTGCTCTCCTCTCCGCTTTCCTCTCGGCTGTCTTGACCCGCCTCATCGTCTTACCGAAGCTGAGGAGGATCCAAACAGTCGCCAAAATGGTGATTCCAACCGTCATATCTCTGACAAGCTCGTAGAGATCGCTATCTCCGGCTGGCAAGGCGAGATGGAACCTGGGTGCCACGCCTTCGCCGTGAAATGACTTTGTTAGGCGCAGCACGGATGTCGAGGTGTTCTGAAGTTTGGACGAGTGAATGTTGAAATGGGCGTAAGGAGATGGGAGCAGGTCGGCGGTGCCTGCAATTTCAGAAGAAGCGTCGTCAGTCGCCTACCACCTGTGCCAAATGTGAAGTAAGAGACAAAAGCGCCAATTTCCTCGTCTACTCTACGAACCGAAGCATCATTATCGATGACCGGGTGAAGTACTCACTTGCTGACCATACCCCGAATTCCTCGCTGAGTGCCTCCTCGTCTAGGATTGCTTGGGAGCCTGCTTCCAAATCCTCATCCACGCCATCGCCGCATTCCCAAATGAACTCGGGTCTTCTGATCTCGACGTCAAGGTAGTTGCCCTTCTTGGGGTCTCGCACGACATTCCACATCTGCTTGAGCCAGCCTGAGGGATGTTCTGCGCTTCCAGTCGCGGACTTTGACGGAGTGTCTTCTTGAGCAGAAAATGCGGGCAGGTACCTGGCCTTGAGCTGAATAGGGAGTGTTTCATCGTCGTACCTCTCGTCTGAGCCTAGCGCTGCTGGGTCGAGTTGCTTGAGCCGCACCAGCAGCACTCGTCTTTCTAATGCCAGCGGAACCTTCAAAGAGTCGGTAGACTGAGATGTGCTGGCGCTCGCGACATCTGTATCTGACGACACCTTGAATGTGGATCCATCTTGAGCCACAACTGTTTGGCTCGTAGATTGCGCAGTCGTGTAGCTGTCCTGGGTCTCGACATTCAACTTGAGCCTTGCAAGACTCCATCCTACCGGACTCTCAACATCCACCTCGTCCCACTT